AAAGAATAGCATGTTTCAATCTTGATGGTGGTGTTGATCAAAACAAACCCACCCTTCTCTCTCACGTCAATCCCTGTCTCTCTCCACTTTTTCATTCCTATAAATATATCACTCTCTACCAGTACAATCTAATTATCACTTCTTACTGTATTCCTAAGTATACATATTCATTTTGAGAGGCTGATCATCATTGATGGGGGATAAGAATGTGAATCTGCCACCAGGTTTTCGATTCTATCCAACTGATGAAGAGCTTGTGGTTCATTTCCTTCATCGAAAAGCAGCACTCTTGCCTTGCCATCCTGATGTCATTCCGGATCTTGATCTTTATCCCTATGATCCATGGGATTTAGAGGGTAAAACCAATTCTTATTCCGATTTTATCTCTTAGTCACATAAAAGTTATATTAGAGAAGCAACGGGTTTACTTATTCAATTTAGTCTTCAACACTCTACTCGATCTGCGCATGCGGGCCACATTCACATTTTTTTTTTATCGAACCAGAAAATTCCACCGAATACATGTACAATTTTCATAAATGGACATCGGTACGACTTGAATATTAAAAATATTATTATTAATATTTACTTGCCTCCCTCTTAATTCCCTTTTTGTTCTTGTTGGTGTATTATTCAATCCAAAAATTGGATCAATTACATTTTCTTCAATCCCAATGGCCCTCAAATGGCTCCTTCCCTATCAGCTTTTTACAATACTATGTTGAACAAGCTCAACTAAAAACTTAAATTGGTAGTGAAAAGTGGATATATTACTAGTTTAAATGTGTTTTATCTATGTGATGTAGGTAAAGCAATGAAAGAAGGCAACAAATGGTACTTTTATAGCAGAAGAACACAGAATAGAATTACTGGGAGTGGATATTGGCAGGCTATTGGGATTGATGAACCAATTTACAGCTCTAGTTCTAACCAAAAGGTTGGGATGAAGAAATATTATGCATTTTACATTGGTGAAGGTGTCAAAACTAATTGGATGATGCAGGAATATAGGATTTCAGACTCTTCTTCTACTAGTAGATCATCAAGAAGAAGAAATTCCAGAACAGTAAGTACATATTTATATAACTTTAGTAATGTTGCTTATATATAGAATAACATTTTTTTCTTTTTTTCTTTTTAATTTACTTTTTTGAGTAAGAAAATTTTATTGTATTTTCTTGTAGGATTACAGTAAATGGGTGGTGTGTCGAGTGTACGAGCGTGATGGTGACGACGACGACAACGATGGGCCGCAGCTTTCATGCTTGGATGAAGTTTACTTGTCGCTTGAGGATCTTGATGAAATTAGTTTGCCAAATTAGATCCAAAAATTAAATTTGAGGATCTAATGCCCAGATTTTGTAGAATTTCCACAAAATGTTTTAGCATATTAATTCAATATTTTCTTGATGAAATTAGTTAAGGGAA